GTGCTGTGCGCTGCGCTTATAGGCGGGGAGACAAGAGATGGCAGGTCAGGCAGGTGGAGGGAGTCCAGGAAGCGAGCATATTCAAACGCCATGAGAGCCGTGAGCACTTTCTTGTGCGTGTGGCAAAAAGCGTGTGTGGCACAGAGAGGCGTGTAGCAGGCTGAAGCGTGATGGAACGGATAGTTAGTGTCGAATAGCTCTGTGTGACACCACGTCACATGGCGTGTGGGTCTCACTATTTTGGTGTGAAGTGCAGCACAGAATGGCATGGCAGGTGTGGCGTGGCATGGCATGGCACGGCATGGTAGGTGTGGCGTGGCATGGGTGGAACCTACTCTTTGATCCGCTGCAAGTCGTCAAGGCAGGGCAGCGACACCACCTTCCATGCACTGCCAGGCAGGCAGGGCCGCAAGTGGGGAAACGTCGCAGGGAGATGTTGGAGATGATGGGACGAGTGGAAGCATGGATGGATGGATAAGCGACAGGAGACGAGGGAGGGAGGTGACAGGGATAATGGTATGGTGCAGGTCACCTATTTCCCTCACACCCCCGCCTGCCCACCTGCTCGCCCTCATCTGCGCCAGCAGCTGCTGAAACGCCTCCCACGCTGCCCCCCCTTCACACTGCTCCAGCAGCGGCCCCTCAGGGACTCCCACACAGCGCGGCTCTGGAGGGGTTGTTTGCAGGCAGATAGGGCGTACAGGTGAGATGTGCAAGAGGGAGGCAGAGACGAGGAGTTGAGTGCGGTCAACAGCGGTGATGGTGATTGCGGGAGCCACTGCACCAGAGGTGCCTCTAAGCGAAAAGGCACAGGCACATGGGTCACAGGCGAGGGCAGGGGAGATGGGGAGAAGGCGAGTGCAGCTTACCGTGCACTGCCCCAGAGGGGGTTGGGGGCCGCCAGTGGGGCAGCACGGCTCGACCCCAGAGAGCAACCCAGCGCACTGAAGCTGCGATGACTCCAAACTGGTCCAGGGAGGGCGATGGCTGCGCGGGGGGGCGTGTGTGGGGTTGGGGTGGGGTGGGGTGGGGTGGGGTGGGGATGAGGTTGTCAAGATACACAGAGTGCCGCCCAGCGCACTGAGGCTGAGATGACTCCAAACCGGTCCAAGGATGGGGATGGCTGCACAGGGGGGCATAGAGCGATGCGCTTCCAAGTGGGTCATGCAGTGCTTTGCCTTGTAAAAAGCGAGCAGCAGGTGATGCGAGTGAGGTGGAGGAGTGCATGCACGCACGCAAGCTAGTATCAGCCACATATCAGCCACATCCTATTTAAACACGGAGCTTACCACAACCGTGCATTCGGCACGTGTGACGGGGAACGGGGGCTGAGAGGAAGAGAGGGTTGGGCTGGGGTGCTGACCGAAACACAGCCAGAGGCGGGGAGGCGGTGGTGCGATGGCTTAAAGCCCACCGTGGCTGTGAAGGCTGCTGGGCGGGAGATGGATGCACACGTCTGTGATGCTGCAGAGTGGAGAAGGGGGTGTCGAGGGAGGGGAGACAGCAGCAGAGGGGAGAGAGAGCGGGGACAAGAGGTGGCATTGGGGATGAGAGGTAGGTGTGGAAGAGGAGAAGCAGAAGAGAGGAGGTGAAGGGAGGAGAGAGCAAGGGGAGGGAGCAGGAGGAGGGAGACTAACCGAGGGCCAGCGGACAGATGCCTGCTGCAACAGCTGCTGCTGACCCGCTGCTGGAGCCCCCAGGCGTGAAGGACTGCGCGGGAGCAGATGGGGGAGATGATGCGCGGGTGAAGGTGATGAGAGCGGGAGAAGGTGAGGCAGAGCGGCAGAAGATGAGGCAGAGCGGACAGGAGACAGTGCGGACAAGAGTAGGCACACCGGACGCGTGGGGCTGGAAGAAAGTGTGGTGGTCGTGATGGCAATACTAGGCAGGCGGTGACTCAACTGGAGCGAGAGGGTTGCGCGTGCGAGTCGGGCGGCGGTAGGCGAATTCTGTCATGGCTGCCTTGCCCTGGACCAAGGACGGCAGAGGAAAGTGAGAGGAGAGCAGCAGAGCATGCATACATGTGTTCAACATCATATTGGGAATGAACGGATGCTGAGGAGAGGGGTCAGAGGTAAGGTACGTGAAAAGCACAGAAAAGGCCAATACATACTGCAAGACTGGTGAGATCCTACACGTGAGTGAACCTGTACCATGCAAGGAGGAGACATTGGTAGAGGATGTGAAAACGTCAGATAATCAAGTGATTGGGTGCGATGTGAATGGACTGACCAGGATGAGTGCACCAGCTGACCTCAGCCGTTGGATTATCTGTGATTCAAGAGCAGACGGGATGGAAAGCGCCAAAGACACGGTGAGCAACGCCATCTACAGTTCCACACAGACTGTGTTGCACAGATCACTGAAATTTAACCTCACGTGACAGCAACACGTGACGGGAACCGTTGCACGCATGCATCCACCCACCCATGTGCATTGAATGGCAGGCGACTGTCACTCGGATGCACCCTCTGCCTTTTGAAAACTCTTCTCCCCTCCCTCACCTGCCTCCTGCACGCACCTCGCCCTCCCTCATCCCCAACACGGATTCCAGAGCAGGGAAGCCTGGCAGCGCGCCTGCTCTGGTGGAGAAGCCGTCCACGTGGATCAGATCCTGCTGCCACGCACGCATGGGGATGTAAAAGGCCATAAATTCACATGCTGTCTCCGCAAGCACTGGCACTACATGGACGCAGACGCTTGCTGCAACAGCAATGTAGGTATGGCGCATGGTGCCTAGGGATCTGCGAACGTTCTGCTGGAATAGGCGGTCAATAGTCGCAGAGAGCTTCGCACCTTCACTGCGCCTCCCCTCCCTGATGCACTTGCCTCCTCCCTCTCGTCCCTGCCCGCGTCCTGCTCGATTCCCACCACGCCAGACTCCTCGTCTCCCACTCCCTCCCGTCCCCAACCTGCTGCCTCCCCGTCTGGCTCCCCTGCAGCACCTGCCCTTGTAAGGGCAGCATTGAGCTCATCGAGCATTCGGCTGGAGTGGACCGGGCAGAGGGGTTGCACGGGGAAAGCCAAACGGAGAAGTTAAGAAAACGAAACCTCGGGCTTTTCGATAGCCATCAGTCCAACCCTAGCTTCGCCTCCGCTGCTCACCTGCGCCTGGAATCTTCTGCCAGCAGCGCGCCGAGCCACGGTTCCCAGTGCTCCGTCGCGTCACACGAGCGATGCACCGCTGCCACGGCCGCGCGACGCACGCCTGACCAGCCCGATTTCGTGAACACCTCCTCGGGAGTATCCTGCCACGCCCCCGCTTTTTGCTTCAAGGCCTCGTGACTTTGTTCCCGGAATCCACATTTTCTTGCGTGCTCCTTCATTGTATCACCCCCTTGACGCGACGCTGAAGCGAAAGCGGTAGTGCTGACGCGATCAAATTTGCAAGGATGGAGAGAATGCAGACGTGAAGATACACGAGAATGCCGAATAGATCGTCCAAAATTGACCGCGCGAAGGCATTTTTTTATCATGAAATGCTGTTGGTATCACGGAGATTGAAGGTGGTTGGAGAATCGGGTTTGGTGGACTGTGGAGCGCGATCAATGGGAAGGGCTCCATTTCCGTTCATGGGGTTCCGTGAATTCCCCCCATGAATTTCCCATGATTTCTGCAAATTTGATTGAAGTTGGTGGTAGGGACAGGAGGAAGCGTCACCAGGACGAGGAGCTGCCTGACTCGATACTGCTGGAGCCGATAAGCGTTTGTTACGCGCAAGCAGTTTTTAGTGCCGAATGGGTGTGGAGGAATCTGGTGGTTGTAAGAATCCTAGCGGGAAACTGGCCTTAGCGATTGGACGACGAAACCAGTGTCTCTGAGAACAGTTCGCGATCCAACCAGCCTATCAGTCTCAGGGCAGGGGGTGCTCACAGGAGGAGTTCCATTTCGAATTCGCGAAATCCATCCATCCACTCTGGGTGAAAAAGACCCAATCGCCGGGCGGGCCACCTCGCGCCCCACGTCATCCGCTGTGGTCCTCCGCCTACGTGGCGAATGCCCCTTGACCTGGTTCGGGTTAGGTTTTCGCGAGCCCTCTTGACATAGATTCCCGTGTTGGTAACTGTCGCAAAGGCATCATCGCACAGCTACGATTCCTTCGAGCATGACGGATTGGTTGGTCTTGGAAGGCGGCCAAGCAGGCATCCTTGAATGCAAAGGCAAGAACGAAACGGACGGGGGAGGAGAGGGGACGGGTCACGGGTCACGCACACCGCCTCTGATGCGACTCACAGCAGTTGGTCAAGGCAAAACAAGGGTTTCATTTGGTTCAGTGTGGTTCTCTGACAGCAAGGCTCCCATCCACGCTGCTGCGCCTGCCACAAACACAGAATTAACTTCGCTTATGGAACCTTTTATCTCCCAGCTCTCTTCACACAAGAATCTTTCGTTTTTGTCCGTCGAATATCCTCTGTATAGTGGACCTTTCAGAGTCTAGTAGGTTATACGTGTGGCAAAGCGTCAACGGTTCTTATCACACATAGTTTAGTCAGCTTTGATGTCTGGTCTATTTTCTGCAGACCAATCATTAACGAAGGTTTACACATGGTTCAGAAATCAACAGTCGCAATGTTCTCCGCACGAGGTGCGGACGGCCAAGCCTCCAAGCAGTCAACACCTCGTTCAGGAGTGAAAGGCATTTTGCGAGGCACGTTATCTGACCGAAGGATGAAGGGTAGTAAAAAGCCGGCTGGAGGAGCAAAGCAAACCGAGAAGCAGGATGGCAAGAAGAAAACAAAGGCTGCTCTTCCGCAAACGGCGACTCAGAAGCCTGCTGAGAATAAGAAATTGGCGTCAGCGCTTGCATCGCATCTGCAGAGCTTGTACAAGGGAGAAGGGGTGCTGGTGGTAGAGGACGACAAACGCATCATTTTCTACTGCACTCTGTGCGAGTAAGCCGCTCCGTGCTTTGTTCCTTTTCGTTCGTAAACTCCCCTCACATGTCCGCTCTTGCTGCGTCGTCGTTTGAGAGTCGTGACTTTGCGTGAAACTGAGTTCAGATGTCTGGTGTTGAATGCAGCGTATGGGCTTACCATGACGCGAGCCTGATCGACCATATTCATGGGAAGAAGCACAAGCGGAAACAGGCGGAAGCTACACCGATCACCTCACCACCGTCCAGCGTCACTGGAAGTCCCCCTTGGGAGAAAACTTCCAAGTTGACGCCACCGTGGAAGCTCGTTGGGGAAGGTGAGCCTACCGCTCAATCCGTGAGCGACGGCTTCATGCTCCCACATATTTTCTGCCGGTTGAACCTTCTCGCACCTTGAAATTTGCCCGTCTCCGCTGCTGCAGGGAAAAACTCCGCCGTGTCTCCTTCCTCCAAGCGTAAAGCGCCTCATACGAGTGATGCCTCTAAGCCCGCTGGTGGTGGGTCCAAGCGCCAAAAAAGAGCCAATGGTCAAGTTGTTGCAGTTACACCGGATGGTGAGGCGGATGCACGAGACATTGTTCCAGAAGCAGCAGCAGAAGAAGAATCGGATGAGCCAAGCCGACCTGAGGACTTCGCCCTGGCGTTGTTCAAGTTCACGAATCTGATTGGTCGCCGGGGGAAGTGGGAGAAGCAGCTGCTGAAATGGTCCGATGGCAGTTCTTGTGAGAAGCACAGTCAGAAGGAGGAGCTGCCATTGCTTGCAGATGTCCCCTCCGAGCATCCAGAGCAGCTCAAGAAGCAACCGGAAGAGGCCAGCGACAAGGATGTTCCGCAAGATGACGATGATGGTCACAAAGAGAAAGAACCGAAAGGCATGTCTGGTGCTGAGCCACACTGCACAGAAGAGCCAATTGAAGTTAATGCGGATGTGGAAGAAGCACGTGGAGCTCGCACTGGCGACGACTCTACTCCCGCGCCTGAGCTGCACGAGGCGGCTGCTGGTAGAGCTGAAGACGAAGCGACTGTGAATGCAGCTGCACCTGCGGTTCCAGTGCCAGAAGCAGCGGCAGGGGTCGACGCCCCTGGAGAAGCCACAGCACCGGCTGCAGTGCCAGCTAAGAGACGGAAAGGAGCTCTGGGAGCTGGTGCAGGGGCATCTGCAACGAGAGTGTGCTTTCTGTGCCAGCTGCCCATGATGGAAGGGCAGGTGGTTGGAGCCCTGTGGAATGCACGCTTGAAACAATTTGCCTGCAGCAGCAGGAACCGACACAAGGTGATACGCACCCATATTTCCCCTCCCTCCAGCTTCTTCCTTTCCAGTTTCCCTTGACCCTTTCTTCTTCCAAATTATAACCTTCGTCTGCAATTTTTCCGAAACCCCCCTGTGTTTGCGAGCAGAAGTTCCACATATTCCACTCGCACTGCATAGCGGACTGGGTGGTCTTCTGCTCCGCGGTCGCCAGCACCAGTGTGCCGCCCGCCCTCTGCTGCCCGCTCGAGGCTGACGTGGCGCACCTCCTCTCCTCCATGCACCGCCACCAAAAGGCACACGCGCCGTCCCTGGGGCCAAGCCGCCAGGCCAGTGGCGCTGCCACACCTGCTGCCGCCGCTGCTGCTGGCAGGGTCACAGGGGCTGCAGCAGCTGCTGCTACTGCTGCTGAGGCTGGCGGTAGTGCTCCTGTGTCTGCCAGTGCTGCTGCTGAAGCGATTGCGAATAACCAGCCTGGAGATGCTCCTCAGTCTAATGGGGCTGAGCGTGTGGGGCCGGGTGGGGATGCTGATGGCAGCAGTGCTAGCAGTGACGAGAATCATTCCGACGCGTGGGCGTGGGCTGGCATCCCAGACGCAATTCACTCCCCTGCCACCGCTGCTGCTGTTGCAACCTCTGCCCTGGCTGCTGCTGCTGCCACAGGTACTCTTTCCCCTTCTGATAACTTCCAGCCTTTCTCATTTCAGCAGTTACTGCTATGCTGTTATACATGAATATACAGCAGTGTACTGACATTTGTGCGTCCTTGACTCACGCAGGGCCAGTGTCCAGTGAAGATGCAGCAGTGGTGGCCATCGTGGCAACAGCTGCTGCGTCGGCTGCTGCGTCCCTGATGGCTCCACCTCCTGCTCCTCCTGCCTCTGCATCTGCTATGTCACATCTTCTGGGCAAGCGCAGCTCAGCTGACACCGTGGCACAGCAGCCAGGCAAGGCGAAGAGCGGCGTGCCCTCAGCAGTGCCGGCATCAGCGCCTGTAGCAGCGTCTGGAGCAGCTGGAGCTGCCAGCAAGGGCGTGCCAGGCAAAGGGGCAGAATCAGAGGCAGCAGTGTCAGTAGGAACAGGAGGAACAGCAGTGCCAGCAACGCCAGCTGCGCCTGAGGGCGCAGAGGCGCTGAAGGGAGTAAAGCTGTTGCCGCTGACTGAGGTTTTCTGTCCGGAGTGCCAGGGCACAGGGCGGTATGGCCCTCAAAACGCCCTGGAGCACCCCCGCTACCGCCTTGCTCAGGTCAGTCAGGCTGAATGCGCTCTCATGTTGCCTGGTTTATTTTGTGTGCTGTGCTCGGCTCGGTAAGTGACATGTGGTACGTGCTCAATGTGTATGTTTTCTTGTGTGTTATTCTGTTTTTCTTCCACGTGCAGGTGTTTGACTGGATTGTGGCCATGATGGTGGCGCGGCATAAGGCAACCCTTGCACAGAAAGGAAGCGCGGCGAGCAGTGGAGAGCAGGAGGAGGATGGTGGTGCAGGGAGGACGGCAGAAGTGGGTGCGGCAGACAAGGGAGATGCCACTATGGCAGACGCTGAGGGTGCACCAGAGGGCTGCGAGAAGGCACCAAAGGGGGCCGAGGGAGCATCAGAAGGCGGGGAGAAGACACCAGAGGGCAGGGAGAATGTGGAGAGGTCAGGTGGCATGGAGGCGGATAAGGGCTTGTGTGATGAGAGGGAGGTGACAGCAGCCGAGGCTGCTCATCCCCCTCCTGCAGCCAGTCCCTCTCAGGCGGCTCACAGTGCAGCAGTCACTGGGGGATCCCTTCCAGGGAATGAAGCAGGCATGCAGGATACGGGTGCTGGCAGCAGCATGGGCGTGGTTGCTGGCAGCACGCTGGCCAGCAATCCTGTGGAGAGTGCAGCAGAGAAGGGGTCAGAAGGGTGCCGTCTGCGTTTCGCGGACCAAAATGTACAGAAGGTGAGTCTAACACGTGCCTACGTGTATCTTGAGCTGACTGCACGATGTGTCTACCCAGTTTGATCTCTGCACTGTCTTGCTGTTATCTTACACCGTTTTTTCACCTGCTCCGGTGTCCAACCATTCTGCACCGAGTCCTCTCCTCCCTATATCTGCAACCCTACATCTCCCTTCATCTGCTTCTGCCTGCCCACCCGTCCCTATGCCAGGCAGCTGACACTGCTTTCCACAACCTCAGGGTGCTTCCAGCTGAGTGTCTGTCGGCACATTTGGGCAAGGGAAAGCGGACAGGCACAGCCACAGCACCAAAAAAGCATGCATAGGGTGGTGGTGGGGTGGGGGGGGGTGGGGGGGTGTGGGGGTGCAGTGGGATGGGGAAGATGTACCTACAAGGGTGACCAGGAGGTTGAGGGGTGGGGGCAGGGAGTGGGGAGGAAAGGGGGCTGCCTGGGGAGGGGGTGGGGCTGTTTTTTGGGGATGGGATAGGATGTGTACATTGCTGTGCATACCTGATTTTGTACGAGGACCGCAGGTGTCGTATGGGATACTTCAGGTGTCTGACAGGGTCAATCCACGGCTGCATAAAGACATCTTCAGTCCCCTAACACGCGCAAGACTGGTGGCCTGCAGCAGCTGTGCAACATGCAGACTGCCCTAACATAAGGTTTCAGACTTTCAAGAGTTTTGGCACTTTCGAAAGGTGTTTCTATAGTTTTGCCCCTATATGACTATTTTGTGTGTGTTGACGGTAGTTGCCTGCTGGCAGGTATGGCTGCATGAACTCCCTGATATGGACCAGAGGAGCTCTTATATATATGTATACGTCTTCAATATTCACGTAGGTATATTCTTGGAACAACTCCAGTCGGATTGACGTTTTATCGCGGATAAATCCATAGCATGAGTAGCTCCATCTCAGCCCAGGCAATACAGACCCTTCACAAATCACAAATTGCTGACCCCTCCGCGGCAACCGCATCAGTCGTGAGCCATGATGAAGCTATTGCTCGCGACGACAACCCGTCGCTCTCGTCGTTAAATCTCGCACTTCCTCCACGCTCCGCTTCCATTCTGCCACTTTCGACTGTAGCTCGCCTCCCCCACCATTTCAGCCATTAATGCGCTAGTCTTGCTCTCCTTCCTTCACGCGACATGCACCTCGAGTGGGAGTTGGAGCAGCAGGAGGCGGGCGAGGCACAGGGGCAGCAGGCTCAGAGCCACGGGCAGGGGCGGGAGGGAGCATGCCAGGACCAGGATTCCGTTCGGAACGCGTTCGACCTGCAAATCCTCGACATGAATTTCGACGCGTGCTCGCAGAACCTCCCAGGCGGCCTTTCCTTCGATATCCGCCACTCCTACCCCACTCTCCAACCGTGCCCTACTCTTCAAGCTTTCCCTAACCTTCAAGCGTGCCCCACCCTTCAGACCCCGCACGCGGCTCCCTTCCTTGGCGGAAATCCGTACTCCCTCGCGTTTAACGTGCAGTCCGCGTCGTCTTTCCAGTCCCACAACGCCGCGCCGTTTCTGTCCGAAAACCAGCACGAGTTTCCCGTTTCCAGCGCGCGCCAATGCGGACGGATTCCGTTAGAGCCGCCAGTAACAGAGAACAATAACAGCAGCAACAGCAACAATGATAACACTGATAACTACGGCGAGAACACATCCAGCCCTCCGTCTAGAGGCGCGTTCGACCTCCAAACCCCCAACATGAACTTCGACGCTCCGTGCGACGCGCCGTGCGACGCTGCGACGCGCATGATCCGGCTGCCGTACGACCTGCATCCGCCGGACATTAACCTGCCTCTCCCCCTCCCCATGTCCATGTCCATGTCCATGTGCCTCGACCTCGATCTCGACGCCGCCTCCCCCGCGCACCACCCCGTTGCTGCCTCCCTCCCCGCCAATGCCGCGCATCCCGCTGGTGCCGCTCGTCCCGCTCATCCCACTGATGACGCTGACGTCGCTGCAGCGGCGGCCGCGAATTCTCCTGCTCCTGCTGCTGCGGCTGACGCTGTTGCTGCTGCTGGTGTTGCAGCTGGAATCAATGGCGCGGTTGGTGGGGAGAGCGGCGTTGGTGGGGATGCGCGGGACTTCGGGAGTGGTGGGAGGGGGAATAGCAGCAACAACGTGGGTGGCGCAGAGGGGGAGCAGCGCGGGATGGAAGAGCGCGATAGGGCTGGCGAGCTTGGCGGAAACGGCGAGCTGGCGATTCTGAGGGCTTTCCAGCAGGGCGCGGGAGGGGAGAACGCGGAGAGTGGGTCCGCGGAGGGCGCAGGGGGGGAGGAAGGGGAGAACAGGCGGGAGCAGCAGGCGGAGCAAGGAGTATCAGAGGAGGGGGGCGGGCAAGAAGCAGGCGCTGATGCTGGCGGGGATACTGGCGGAGATGGTGGGGGAGATGGGGGCGGGGATGTTGGCGGAATGGCCCTCTGGTGGGATGTAGGTCCGGCGCCGAACCTGGACATTGAGATAGCTCCGGTTGGTGCCCCGGCAACCCGGTTTGCACCGAGGCTGATCTTCAGCCTTGACAGCCACCCACCGTCCACCGCTGCTACTGCTCCTGCCCCTCCTGCTGCACTGAATGCAAACACCAGAGGAGCTATAGCCTCCAGACCCACTGTACCCTCCAGATCTGGTGGTTTCAGGGAGAGTGGGTCGGCCACAGGAGCTGGTGCGGGAGTGGGTGGGAGCAGCTCCGCGTGCACGCACGCCACCAGCACGTGCCACATGGTGCCGCCAGGAGAGTGCGGCCAGCAGCAGCAGCCGCGGGAGCAGCAGCAGCAACAGCAGCAGCAGCAGCAGCAGCAGCAGCAGCAGCAGCAGCAGCAGCAGCAGCAGCAGCAGCAGCAGCAGCAGCAGCAGCAGCAGCAGCAGCAGCCAGAGCAAGTGCAACAGCAGCCACAGCAGCAGCACAAGCAGCAGCAGCCCAACCAGCAGCAGCTATGGCTACAGCAGCCGCAATACACTGCGTCTGCCACTGGTACTGCTTACGGGCAGCAACCAGTAGCACCACGCCTTGCACCTTACCCACGCCCTTCCTCCATCCACCCGCCTCGGCCCATCGCAACCCTTGCTCCCTGCCCTTCCCCACCACCAACAGGGGAAACCGCCTTATCAGCAGCAGCAGCAGCAGCAGCAGCCCCGGCAGCTGAAAACGCAACAGAAGTTGCAGCACCAGCAGCAGCAGCAACATTAGGAACAACATCACCAACACCAGCAGCAGAAACAGCAACAGTACCAACAGCGGCAGCAGCAGAAGAAACAGAAGCAACAGCGCCAGCAGAAACAGCAACAGCTAAGACTACCGCGACAGCAAGGACTATAGCAACAGGCGGAAGGTCAGCAGCAGCAGCAGCAGCAGCAGCAGCAGCAGCAGCAAGGGCAGCGACAGGGATGGGGATAGTGGACATGGAAGGCATGGGAGGTTCGAGCAGCAGTGCATGGCAAGAAGCAGGGAGGGCAGCAACACTGGAGCTGGGCACAGAAGCAGGCGCTGACATGAACGTGAACGTGCGTGCATGTACGGCAGAGGCAGTGAGGGACGTGGACACGTGCTGCGCTGCAATTGGCCTAAGTGACTGTGCTGGCGGCGGCAACGGGGGCACGCTGCGTGCTGCTCCCACTGCTACCGCCGCTCCTACTGAAACTGCTGCTCCCACGAGCGCGGCCGTCGGCCGCAGCAGCAGTGGCATCCCGAGGCGGTACAGTGCACGGGAGGACCGTGTGTGGGGCGCACACTTCTTCTTCTCTCACTACTACGCCTCCACCCTCTCCCAATCGGTGCGCTCTTCCGTGCCCTGTGCTCCTCCTGCGCCTTACTCCACTCTCTCATGACTGTTCAACCTTCGTCCCCTCCCCTCCCCCCTTCCTCCCCCCTGCAACCTCCTGAACGAGCGTGGAGAGGAGGCGTTTATAGCACTGCGCGACATGGAGAATGCATACATGTGGGCTCTAAATGTGTGGCCAGGGCACGTGGACAGGCGTCATGTGCCTCCATGCCCGCCCCACTGCCTAACCTCCCCCCATCCTTCTCACCCTCCACCGCCCACACACCCCCCCCTTCCCCCCTCCTGACCACCTTCCGACACCAGCGGGGCGAGGAGACGTTTATGGTGCAGCACATGTGGAGAATGCATACATGTGGGCGCTCAGTGTGCGCCGGGATCATGCGGAGAGGCTTCATGTGCCTGCATGCCCGCCCTACTGCCTCCCTCCCTCCATCCTTCTCACCCCCCACCGCCCACACCCCTACCCCTGACCACTTTCCACCACCAGCGTGGAGAGGAGGCGTTTATGGTGCAACACGATGTGGAGAATGCGTACATGTGGGCTCTCAGTGTGCGGCCAGAGCAAGTGGAGGAGAGGCGTTATGTGCTTGCATGCCTGCCCTACTCCCTCTCCCCCTTCACCCATACCCACCCAACCAGCGGGGCGAAGAGGCGTTTATGGTGCAGCACGATGTGGAGAATGCGTACATGTGGGCGCTCAGTGTGCGGCCAGAGCATGCGCTGGGCAAGATGCAGCTGCGCTCCTTCATCAACGGCAACTCCAGGTATGCTTGCACCTCCCCCTCCACCGCATGCGTTGCCTCCCACTGCAGGCCTCTTGCCCCCCCTTTCACTTCATCACTCTCATCACACATGCCACGCGCTCCCCCTCCCCCCTCTCCCCCTCACCATGTACCAACAGGGTGGACGAGCCGTGCTTCCCCTTCCCTGAGAAGGCTGGCTTCGTGCGATCACACCGCCTGCAGCGGCGGCGCTACAAGGGGCTGGCCAACCCCCTCTGCATCCACGGCATTGCACCCGTCCCCGCCCCTGACCTCTCTGCCGTGTCCCCCCACTCGCGCACGCGCTGGGAGGAGATTACTGGTGAGTTGGTGGCTGTCAGGTGTCGCACACAGGGTGAAACGTCTTAAAGGTTATATCCGCCCCGGTATCCCGGTTTCCCGGTATCCCGGTTTCCCGGTTTCCTGGTATCCCAGTTTCCCGGTTTCCCGGTTTCAAGGTTTCCCGGTATCCCACTACCCTGGTTTCCCGGTATCTCGGTATCCCGGTATCCCGGTTTCCCGGTATCCCAGTATCCCGGTATCCCGGTTTCCCGGTATCCCGGTTTCCCGGTTTCCCGGTTTCCCGGTATCCCGGTATCCCGGTATCCCGGTTTCCCGGTATCCCGGTATCCGATTTCCCGGTTTCCCGGTATCCCGGTTTCCCGGTATCCCGGTTTCCCGGTATCCCGGTTTCCCGGCATCCCGGTTTCCCGGTATCCCGGTTTCCCGGTATCCCGGTTTCCCGGTTTCCCGGTATCCCGGTTTCCCGGTATCTTGGTTTCCCGGTTTCCCGGTATCCCGGTTTCCCGGTATCCCGGTTTCCCGGTTTCCCGGTATACCGGTATCCCAGTATCCCGGTTTCCCGGTATCTCGGTTTCCCGGTTTCCCGGTATCCCGGTTTCCCGGTATCCCGGTTTCCCGGTATCCCAATTTCTCGGTATACTGGTATCCCGGTATCCCGGTTTCCTGGTATCCCGGTATCCCGGTATCCCGGTATCCCGGTATCCCGGAATCCCGGAATCCCGGTATCCCAGTTTCCCGGTATCCCGATTTCTCGGTTTCCCGGTTTCCCACTATCCCAGTATCCCGGTATCCCGGTATCCCGGTTTCCCGGTATCCCGGTTTCCCGGTATCCCGGTTTCCCGGTTTCCCAGCATCCCGGTATCCCGGTATCCCGGTTTCCCGGTATCCCGGTTTCCCGGTTTCCCGGTTTCCCGGTATCCCAGTTTCCCGGTTTCCCGATATACCGGTTTCCCGTTATCCCGGTTTCCCGGTATCCCGGTTTCTTGGTTTCCCGGTTTCCCGGTATCCCGGTTTCCCGGTTTCCCGGTATCCCGGTTTCCCGGTATCCCGGTTTCCCGGTATCCCGGTTTCCCGGTTTCCCGGTATCCCGGTATCCCGGTTTCCCGGTATCCCGGTTTCCCGGTATCCCGGTTTCCCGGTTTCCCGGTTTCCCGGTATCCCGGTTTCCCGGTTTCCCAGTATCCCGGTTTCCCGGTATCCCGGTTTCCCGGTATCCCGGTTTCCCGGTTTCCCGGTATCCCGGTTTCCCGGTATCCCGGTTTCCCGGTATCCCGGTTTCCCGGTATCCCGGTTTCCCGGTATCCCGGTATCCCGGTATCTTGGTTTCCCGGTTTTCCGGTATCCATGTATCCCGGTATCTCGGTTTCCCGGTATCCCGGTATCCCGGTTTCCCGGTATCCCGGTTTCCCGGTTTCCTGGTTTCCCGGTATCCCAGTTTCCCGGTTTCCCGATATACCGGTTTCCCGTTATCCCGGTTTCCCGGTATCCCGGTTTCTTGGTTTCCCGGTTTCCCGGTATCCCGGTTTCCCGGTTTCCCGGTATCCCGGTTTCCCGGTATCCCGGTTTCCCGGTATCCCGGTTTCCCGGTTTCCCGGTATCCCGGTATCCCGGTTTCCCGGTATCCCGGTTTCCCGGTATCCCGGTTTCCCGGTATCCCGGTTTCCCGGTTTCCCAGTATCCCGGTTTCCCGGTATCCCGGTTTCCCGGTATCCCGGTTTCCCGGTTTCCCGGTATCCCGGTTTCCCGGTATCCCGGTTTCCCGGTATCCCGGTTTCCCGGTATCCCGGTTTCCCGGTATCCCGGTATCCCGGTATATTGGTTTCCCGGTTTTCCGGTATCCATGTATCCCGGTATCTCGGTTTCCCGGTTTCCCGGTATCCCGGTTTCCCGGTTTCCCGGTATCCCGGTATCCCGGTATCCCGGTTTCCCGGTATCCCGATTTCCCGGTATCCCGGTATCCCGATTTCCCGGTTTCCCGGTATCCCGATTTCCCGGTTTCCCGGTTTCCCGGTATCCAGGTATCCCGGTATCCCGGTTTCCCGGTATCCCGGTATCCCGGTTTCCCGGTTTTCCGGTATCCCGGTTTCCCGGTATCCCGGTATCCCGGTTTTCCCGGTTTCCCGGTATCCCGGTTTCCCGGTATCCCGGTATCCCATCATCCCGGTATCCCGGTTGTTGTTAGGTACTTATTTTCCTTTAATTATGCTGAAGGTTAGTTCACTAGTTTGTTTTATGGTTTGTATGTATTTGCTTACATTATAATAGTGTAGACAATAGGGGTTGGGTTATATTAGTTATAGGGTGCCCCCTGAGTGACTTTATCAAGTGCTAGGCACCCCAAATTCGGCTTTGGGGCACCCCAGCACGTTTCCCATCCTCGGGGACGCGGCTCCAGCCTGGACCCACGAATTTCAACGTTGGAAACACGGCTCCAGCTTGGAATTCGCGTTTCCAATTCGTGGAATCGCGGTTCCACTAGAGGGGGCGCTTCCAGGCCCACTTTGAGGGTCCTTCACGTCCCCATCTTGACTGTGGGCGACTTGAGCACCCATTTGGCCACCCCAAGTCCCTTGGGTACCAAATTCCTCACCTGGACCAGCCCAAGTCGCCTCCAAACTAGCTCTCTTCACTTTCTGCCTATTTTAGCTTTTGTTTTGCTTGTATTCATCACTTCTGTTAACTTTCTGTTTGTAGACCCTTTTCAACATCTCAGAACCAGCTTCTCCTTGTGCACATTGTGCACATAGGTCTGATTTTTTACACCGGTATCCCGGTTTCCCGGTTTCCCGGTATCCCGGTATCCCGGTATCCGGGTTTCCTGGTATCCCGGTTTCCCGGTATCCCGGTATCCTGGTTTCCTGGTATCCCGGTTTCCCGGTTTCCCGGTATCCCGGTATCCCGGTATCCCGGTTTCCCGGTATCCCGGTATCCCAGTCGGTTTCCCGATTTCCCGGTTTCCCCGCTTCCCGGTATCCCGGTTTCCCGGTATCCCGGTTTCCGGGTATCCCGGTTTCCCGGTATCCCGGTTTCCCAGTATCCCGGTTTCCCGGTATCCCGGTTTCCCGGTATCCCGGTATCCCGGTATCCCGGTATCTTGGTTTCCCGGTTTCCCGGTATCCATGTATCCCGGTATCCCGGTTTCCCGGTATCCCGGTTTCCCGGTATCTCGGTTTCCCGGTTTCCCGGTATCCCGGTATCCCAGTATCCCGGTTTCCCATCCCGGTATCCCGGTTTCCCGGTTTCCCGGTATTCCGGTATCCCGCTATCCCGCTATCCCACTATCCCGGTATCCCGGTATCCCGCTATCCCGGTTTCCCGGTATCCTGGTTTCCCGGTTTCCCGGTTTCCCGGTATCCCGGTTTCCCGGTATCCCGGTATCCCAGTTTCCCGGTTTCTCGATTTCTCGGTTTCCTGTTTTTTCGGTTTCCCGGTATCCCGGTATCCCGGTTACTGTACTGTGTTGCACCCCTGTTGCGACGTCCCAAAGGTCATTGCTGCAGCCGCTGGGACACACATCTGCCCGTTTTGCTCGGTATGGCTGCCCATCTCCTTACTCTCTGCGATATACTCTAAAGGAGCACAACCATGGGATTTCGAATGGCGGACAAATCACACTTCACCGGTCTTCCGCCCCTCTCTTCCCCCATTTCTCTCCCACCCTTCTCTCTTCTCGCCCTCCCGCCAGGTCGGCCACTGTTCTTCTCTCTCTCACCGCATGCACATGACAACACTCTCTGGCGCGCCCTGCTGCCTCCTGCCACCTCCGTGTTTTGGGATGCCTCTGGAGTACCCTCCCTTTCTCCCACCCTGCTCACGTCTCTCCCTCACCCCAGGGCGACCGCTGGGCTTTTCTCTCTCGCCGCACGCGCATGACTTCACCCTGTGGCGCTCCCTGCTGCCTCTTCCTACCCTGCCGAGCCATGCCCTTGCCACGTGTGCTGGTGCATGGAATGCTGAGAGCGTTGGTGGCGAGTCTACTCCCTCCGGTGCACGTGTAAATAGGCAGTTTCTACCTGCACAACCAGCAGCGGCAGCAGCAACAGCGGCAACGCCACCCGCACAGCCAGCAGTAGCAGCCGCAGCCAGAGCAGCAGCAGCACCAACGTCAGTCATACAAGCAGCAGTCGCAGTGGAAGGTGGAGCAGCAGGAGCAGGAGGAGCACGAGGAGAAGCAGCTCAGCGGCAGGAGACATTAGGGCAAGTGGAGCTGGGTGATTCAATGGTACGTGAAGGAGCAGCCGATGCTGCTGCAGAGGCAGCAGTGCCAGTGGTTGTTGAGGGGACAGGAGAGACAGTGGAGGGAGGGTGGACAGGGGAAGCTAGGGGCTCACATGGGGCTGTGCAGGGGGGTGTGCTGAGGGAGGTGGAGGCAAGAGGGCTACATGGCACGCGGATGAGACAAATGCAGGAGAGGCAGCAGCAACAGCAGCAGCAGCGGAAGAGGCAGCAGGGGAGGGAGCAGCAGCAACAAGAGAGTCAGCAGCAGTCGCCACAGCAGAGTGTGCAGCAGCCGCAGGGAGCACAGGAGCAACGGGTAGCACAGCCGCAGCAGGGAATGCAGCAGGGAGCACAAGAGACACATTCAGAACGACAAGCAGCAACTGACATGCTGAACGAACATGGTATATCGGGCTCACATGCAGGCATCCCCACTTCAAGCCGCATGCAGCCACTCAACGGCTTGTCCCTTCAAGGCATGCAGCACAGGGGAGGGGGCCATCAGCAGCGTGACAGGGAAGGTGTTGCAGGCTGGCAGGGGAACTGTGTGGAGATGGAAGGGGAGGGGCGGATGGGGGGCGGGCAAGGTGGGTTTGACAGGAACAGAGGAGGAGCAGAGGGAGAGATTGTGCGGCATAGGAGAGCAGCAGTGAGGCAGCAGCAGGTGCAGTCAGCACAGGCAGGGGGGCAGCAGGTGAGGTCAGTACAGGTTGAGGGGCGGCAGCAGGTGTGGTCAAGAGATTCGCCCCTGCAGCCCCTGAATCCAACCAGACAGGGTGAAAACTCGCAAAGACAGCGCGTGTGCCCATCGCCCCCTCCTGTGCAAGCCTTGGAGCACACGGGTGCATCTCCCCAGCTGAATGCGTTACTGCATGTGGGTACACGTACACCCCCCCAGAATGCATCATTGCAGGCGGGTGCATCTTCCCAGCCATGCTCGCAGCCACCTGTGTTCACATCTGGGCGGCGGAGACGGGCAGACGACCCGCTTCTGGGCGGCACAAGCAAGCGGGCCATGTGTGCCTCTGCTCCGCTGCTGCCTGCTGCAACGCATGTTACTGCTGCTAGCAGGCCTGCTGATGCTGGTTTCAGGCATATCAACGCTGCTGCCATGCCTGCTGCCACTGCTGCTCTGCATCCTTTGGCTGCTGACACCAATGATAGCAGAGGGATCGCAGGAGGTACGGCAGGATGTGTGGCAGGAGGTACGGCAGGGGGTATGGCAGCAGGTGTGGGTGCTTCTAATGCAGCAGTGAACAGTGATTCTGCTGCCGCTCGTCAAGCGGGAGTGGCTGCAGAGGAGAGGGACCATTCAAGCAGTGCGGGAGACGGGGCAGATGAGTCGAATGTAGCCGTGAGAGCAGGTGTCTGCCGAGGTGTGGCAGCAGCACACGTGCTGCAGCACCAACTGTGGCAACAACGGCAGCAACAGCAACAGCAGCATCCGCAACAACATAACAATCCTCGTCATCATCAGCAGCTGCAGCTGCAGCAGCAGGGGCAACGCCAGCAGCAAGAACAGCAGCAACGGGAACAGCAGCAGCAGCAGCAGCAGCAGCAACAGCAGCAAGAGCAGCAAGGGGACCAGCAGCAGCAGCAGCAGCAGCAAGAAAGGCAGATTGCACACAGACGCCACAGACCAACTTCGTCGTCAATGGCAGCACCACCAGCACGAGCAGCAGCAACAGCAGCTGTAGCAGCTTCCCTGGCAGCTATGGTACTCCACCCAGCAATCCAAGCAGCAGCGCCACTACCACTGCCACTGCCACCTGCACCCGCAGCACTGGCAGCACCAGTAGCACTGGTAGCACCAGCACGAGTGGTAGCATCGGTGGCGAGAGCTCAGCTTCCCATGGCCCATACATCGGAGTACCACCGTAGGCTGGGCACCGAGCCTGATGTCACACCTCAAACCGAACCAAGTACCACGCTTCGGACCGAGCCTACTGCCGAAGCTGCAAGTGAGGCTGAGACGCAGCCGGGGCTGTCGTCTACAAGCGTGGGTGCATCGGCGCGTGACTATAGCGAAGGGGTGCATGAGGGTCCTGGGCTGGCATCCCCCAATCTAAGCCCCCCCAATGTGAGCCCTCTCAACCTGAGCCACAACCACCACGTGAATGGGACCGGAGGGAGACGTGGGCAAGAGGGGAGGAGAAGTGGAAACAGGAGTATGCCGAACGGAGTGAGTGTTGCTGGCGACAGCTTAGGAGCAGGAGGAAGGGCGGGCAGGGTGGTGGGCGAGGGGATGCCTAGGCAGCAGGGTGGAGGAGTGGGCATTAGGGAGGAGGAGAGAGGAGAAGAGGCAGCAGGAGCAAGTGGGGTTGTGGCCAGAGTATTGAACCCAGTGCCTGGGCGCACCACAGCAGCCATGGGATGGCGAGGAGGGGCGTCAGGCACACTTGCACAGGTGTGCTTCTTCTTCTTTGAAATGGCGCTGTTCACTCACTACCCCCCCTGTAATCTGGGACAGCCTTGAAGCCACTTGGCTTCTGTCGCTCTTGTTCTCCCCTTGCTCCTCTTGGCCCGGCCGCAGGCTGTGGTTCCACCCACGTGCACGTGCACGCTGTACAGGGATGCGGCATGCGTCTTATTCGAAGGCGCATTGGTATCTACTCCCCCTTTCCCTGTCGCAGGCTGTGGTTCCAACCACGTGCGCATGCACGCTGTATGAGGATGCAGCATGCGTCTTATTCGGAGGCACCTCATTATGTATTCTTCCTTGCCCTGTCACAGGCTGTGGGTCCGCCCACGTGCGTGTGCACGCTGTATGAGGATGCGTCAGCCTACCTGCTGCTGGTGTCGCTGCCCCACTGCAACCTCTCCTGCCTCCGAGTCACGTGGCGCAACGCCGGTGCTGCTGGGATCGTCAAGGTGCGCTGGGTGGTTCATTGGGGAGAGATGACTGTGTAAGATGTGTTTTTTGAGAATTCTAAAAAAAACATACGCTGGGATAGTCAAGGTGCGCTGGGTGGTTCATTGGGGAGAGATGACTGTGCAAGATGTGTTTTTTGAGAATTCTAAAAGAATCATACGCTGGGATAGTCAAGGTGTGCTGCGTGGTTCATTGGGGAGAGATGACTGTGCAAGATGTGTTTTTTGAGAATTCAAAAAAAAAACATACGCTGGGATAGTCAAGGTGTGCTGCGTGGTTCATTGGGGAGAGATGACTGTGCAAGACGTGTTTTTTGAGAATTAAAAAAAAATATACACTGGGATAGTCAAGGTGTGCTGCGTGGTTCATTGGGGAGAGATGACTGTGCAAGATGTGTTTTTTGAGAATTCTAATAAAAACATACGCTGGGATAGTCAAGGTGCGCTGGGTGGTTCATTGGGGAGAGATGACTGTGCAAGACGTGTTTTTTGAGAATTCTAAAAAAAACATACGCTGGGATAGTCAAGGTGCGCTGGGTGGTTCATTGGGGAGAGATGACTGTGCAAGACGTGTTTTTTGAGAATTCTAAAAGAAACATACGCTGGGATAGTCAAGGTGTGCTGCGTGGTTCATTGGGGAGAGATGACTGTGCAAGATGCTGGCTGCTGGCAGTGCTGCTGGCATGCTCCCATGCGCCCATGCGCCCATGCAACCATGCCCACATCCTTATGCACCGATCCACCCAACATGCTTTCTTACATATCCACGTCACACTAGCCTTCTCTCCATCGCTCTCTTTTACAATCGCTTGAATTTTCCTCCACTCCTCCCGCCCTTCCACCCAACATTTCCCTCCATTTCCTTCCCATGCCAATCCGAATCAGATCTCCTGTGCTGCCATCTTCCCCCCGCCATCCGTATCTCGCTCCGGCCGCACATTCCGCCAAGTGTCGCGCTCTCAGTGGCCGGGGGAGCATTGCCCTGTTGGCCCGTTCGAAAGGGAGGTGCAGCTGCCCCAGCGCATACCAGAAAATGCTGACGTGGCAGCCAGTGTGTCTGCAGACGGGTGAGTGTACTGGGGAGAGAGGCGAGTGTGTTTAGCAGACGGGTGAGTGTGTCAATGGATTGAAGCAACTCAATGCCTCTTTAAGAAAATGTTGATTGTTGGAAGGATTGGTTCAGTGCGGTGCCAGCATCACTTCCACATTCCTTGCTTCTCCTTTCTGTGTTTCATCCCACCAGGTCTGGTATCGAGCTGCTGGTGCCGAAGCTCATGGCAGTCACCGAGGAGCGTGAGGTTCGGGTGCTTCTTCCGGGCCTGCAACGAACCTGAGTGCATCTTCCACTGCTCCGCTCCTCATCAGCTTCTGCTCCCTTACTTTCCGTTGCTCCCTCTCCTTCCCGTGTTTTCACGCGTTTCTCTCTCGCTCCTCCCCCTTACCCATTGCCACAAGCTGCTTTCGAGTGTTACCCATTGCATTAGGCAGCTAGCTATATTGCATGTGAGGTGTGAATAGTAGAAGCATGGTGAACATGATGTTTGCCCTGCCTTGTTTTCTAGATACATTCACGTACAGGAGACCTATCCTTGTGCTGTGTATAGCCTGGCTGTCAGCATGCAGCAGATATATTTTCAGGCAAAAGGTGGTGGATTATCTAGTACAATTACGATTTTGAATAATGCTTGATTAGTACATTAATTCTTCAGGTTGCTGAGACATTCTATGCTCTACGTATACCGTATTCACCCGGATAAAACACCCTAGGGTATTATGAAAACCACTGGAAAAAAATGGGGGGGGGGTCTCCTCAAAGGAAAATCCTACATAATACCCGGGTCTTATTATATGGTATATTTTTTATAAAGCAGAAAAGATGTGAAACAAAATCAGGGGTCTGACTTCACTTCAAGATTGTTGATCAATGCCGCAAAACCGAGTACGAGGATATTGTGGGCCACTTGGGCCACTTCACCTCTTGGACCACTTGCAGTGGAAGATTCGCCAGCGTGGCGACAGCGAGATTGTGGAAGGGGGGATATCTCGGCTGTTTCTAAGTGAAAGTACATGCGAAATTTCTTCTAGAGAGCGATTCTCGCGATATCCTCCCGTAAGGAATCGGACTCGATAACAGCTATAATAGGAATCTATAAGAAAAGGGGGGTGCTATAGAGAATCACCCCAAAAGGGGGGGTATAGTACTAACGGGGTCGGATATAACACCCACCCCGTATAAGCTACCCGGGGGTGTACAATTACAGGGGGGTGTTTTATCCAGGAGAATACGGTAGTATCACTTCACTAGTGAACATTCTGTAAAACAATACAGTAATATAAAATTCGAAGGTACACTCAGCCAATGTAATTCTGTCTAATCCTACCAACCACAGGTCCAGAGCCACTCCATGGCAACATGCCATCCATGCCCACCCCGGCATGGACTGGCAGTGTACTGCACAGGCAGAGAGGAAGGCTGAGCCTTTGAGCATTGCCAGGACCAAGACGTGCGGGTGCCCTACTAGGGACTGGCTCTGCCCACCCCCACCTCCACCAAATGACATCACTGCTGGCCAGACAGTTTTGTCACTTGGTGGGGGCAGGAGGGGACAGAACCAGTCCGGTTTGGCCCGGAATCGAGTCCCCAGCCAATGCTCAAAGCTTCACCCCCTCTCATGCACTGGCCACATGGCTTGCCATGCCACCCGCTGAGACTTGCCGACCATGAAGGTACCTGCAGGCAGAGAAAGATAAACATTAGTCCATGATAAACAAAAGAAGGCAAAAATACAGGATGCACCAAAGCAAATCAACAAACGAAATAAAGCCATGTGCACGAAAAAGAGAGCTCGATAGTAGAGGCTGAAACTTATCTGTGGGTTAGGAGCTCAGAGTGTGGAGCAGTGCTTGAGCGTTGAGACGATTCAGCAGGCCATCGCTTGCCACCCACTGAGAGCGTGTTCCTGCACCTCGTATCAAGAGAACCTCGTATCATGCTCACACTGGAAATTCCCCTAAACCCAAAACCTCTCGATAGTTTTACCAGGCAAAAAGTACATTCTTGATATGAGGTTTCAAGATATGAGGCCGTAGGAACACGCCCTGAGACTTGCGGCCCATGAAGGCACCTGCAGACAGAAGAAAGATGAAGATTAGTCCATGATAAAAAAGAGAAGGCAACAGAGCAGCATGCTCTAAAGCAAATCAACAAACACAATAAAGCCATGTGCAAGAGAAAAGGAGCTCGAAGGTAGGGGCTGAAACTTATCTGAGGTTGAGGAGCTTGAAGTGTGGAGTGGTGCTTGAGCGTTGAGGCGCTTCAGCAGGCCATGGTGCTCCCATGGATCTTGGGCTTGCTGGAGTGTGTAGCGGAGCGCAAGGTCTTGGGGGTCCATGGCGTATAGATGGCACTTGGAGAACCTGCCATGAGGCGAAATGAAACAAGTCAGTGACTGTAGAGTTGAATGCGGAGATAACTACTACAACGGGAGCTAGACTACGGGCTAGGCACGGGTGCTCGAGTGATCTCTGCATTCGTTGGTCCTTAGTCGTTTTCCTAGTGCATACAGTGCTTGCTAGTTCACGGGACAAGTTGGCAAGAGTTTCACTAGAGAAAGTTGTCAACAATAATACAAATGAAGTTGGCATGGCAAGACTACATCAGAGCTAGCATTCAGGTCGGTCGACTGCCAGCGCAGCATGGTCGACCGCGTTCCAGCACGACTTGGTCGACCGCGCTCCAGCAGTGCAAAGTCGACGGCGTGCCAACGTCGCAGGTTGACAGCGTGCCAGCGCTGCTCACGCAGAACAGCGGCGCACCCGCTTCGCAGGTGCTTGCAGATGATTGGTGGGCTGAGCCTCGTCACCTGCACAACGCACACACCAAGTCAACCTGGCGCTGATGACTGTTTCTGATCAGCCACGTCGACCTCGGGATACCACCACCGAGGTCGGGCTCGCCAACTTCGCCTGGGCGACTGTCGCACTCCTCCGCAGAACCTCGTCACCCAGGTAACCTGGTCGACCGGGCAACCACGTCGACCAGCTGCTCCCGTGCGTGCCCGTCGACCTCCCAAGTCGACGGCCACCTCGAAGTCGGCGTCACGAAGTTGACGCCCAGCTACTCGACGCCCAACTGCTCGGCGTCCTGAGTCAAGGTCAACGTCGGCCCCTCCTTCGTCGACCACCGAGTCGGGTCGACCACCAGCAGGTCGACCAGCAGGCCTGGTCGACCAACCACGAGGTCGACCAGCAGGTCGGGTCGACCAACCATGAGGTCGACCAGCAGTCCGTTAGCCGACCACCGAAGTAGGCTTCCCCAAGTTGACGTCACCAAGTTGACGTCCTCCGCAGGTCGACTTCCCAAGTCGACCTCCCTGAAGTCGGCGCCACCCTGAAGTCGGCGCCCGTACAGTGGTCTCCGTGCAGGTCGACCTCCTCGTCAACCAGCTCGCCCACTGCTGCAGGTCGGCTGCTCCCCTCACACCCGACCACGAAGTCGGCTCCGTCCAAGCGAGGACGGGGCCAACACACAACTCCCGTTGACACTCCCCTGCCGCGTTCACGCTTGGGCCCCCCAGCCCACACGGCAGTACTCCTCGGAGAATAGCTCGTCGACGTGCACCCAACTCACAGCACGTCGTCCACCGCACCAGCCATGCAAGAGGGCATGGCACCTACTGCTGCACGTCGTCATTTTCGTTGCCCACGTCGGCCAAGCGCACCTGGCCGATGGTGACGGAGCACCGGTTGAAGGCCGGATAGTGCAGCGCCTTCGTTAGGAAGTCGGCCGGCTGCTCGGTGGTCGGGATGTACCTCAGCGAGAACTTCCCGCGCTTCACCATGTGCTGCAGCCAGGCCTGTCGCCGTTCCATGTGCTTGAGGTTGCCCGTCAACCCCATGCCCTCGGCGACAGTGATGGCCGACTTGTTGTCCACCCGAAGGACGGTCGGCTTCCTGGCATCCAGATGCCGAAACTCTGCAAGGAGAAAACGAAGTCGGCGTCCCTCTTTGCCGGCTTCGGTGGCCGCCACGTACTCCGACTTGGTCGACGACAACGTCGCGCACTTGATGCGCTGGCTCGACCAGGAGACTGCGGCCCCTCCGTAGATGAACACGTAGCCGCCCGTGCTCGTCCTGTTCTGCTTGTCACCGGCGTCGTCGGCGTCCACGTAGCTGACCAGCTCCAGCGACTCAGGTCCACCACCGAACTCCAGGGCGGTGTCACGCGTATTGGCGAGGTAGGCGAGGCAGCGGTCGAACTCGCGCCAGTGCTGGTCGCTCCTCACCGTGAGGCCGCTCCCCAGCTTGCTGCAGGCGAAGGCGATGTCTGGCCTCGTCGTCGTCGCCGCGAACTGCAGCGAGCCGACCTTCTGCCGGTACTCCTCCTCCTGTCGCTCTTGTGCCTCCTCGTCGTCGAAGGTGAGCTCGGCGTAGGCGTCGACCGAGACCGGCGTCTTCGGGGTGCGCCCGGTTTGCTCCTCGTCGATGAAGCGCCTACGCAGCTTGTCGGCGTAGCCCTGCTGGTGCAGCCACAGCTTCCCCGCCGACTTGTCGCGGACGATCTCCAGCCCAAGGTACTTCTGCACCAGCGAGATCTCACGCAGCTCGAAGGCGGAATCCAGCAGTTCCTTCAGCCCCTTCAGCATCTCGGTGCTGCTGCTGGCGGCGAGCAGGTCGTCGACGTAGACCAGCACCCAGCAGGCCACTCCATCCTTGCCGACCTTGAAGTAGAGAGCCTCGTCGACCTGGCTCTTCTTCCACCCGGCGTCGACCAGCACGTCGTTGAGTGCCAAGTACCACAGCAGCGGTGACTGCTTCAGCCCGTACAGGCTCTTCAGCAGCTTGCATACCCGGCCGGTTCCGTCGTTGAAGTAGTCCGGCTGAGACATGTAGAGCACACGGTCGAGCTTGCTCTGCAGGAAGGCGTTCTTCATGTCGAGCTGCATCAGGTTGAGGTTGAGGACGGCGACAATGCTAAGGAAGATCCTCAGGGTGACGTAGCTGCCCACCGGCGCGAACGTCTCGTCGTAGTCGGCGCCATACACTTGGGTGAAGCCCTTCACGACAAGCCTCGCCTTCTCGCACTCGACGGTGTCGTCGACGTGGTACTTCGTCGTCAACACCCACCGGTTCTTCATGATGTTGACCCCCGGCGGGCGTTCGACCAGCTCCCAAGTGCCCATGTTGATGAGGCTGCGGATCTCCTCCTCCATGGCGGCCTTCACCGCCGGGCCCTTCCAGCTCGCCAACGCCTCCTTCACCATCATCGTCGAGATGTCCCAACGGTGTTCAGGGTCGGCATGCATGTCGGGGTCGAGCTCCAGAAACTCCTCAT